TGGTCATGGTCATTTTTATGCTGCCCTTAATGCAGATATTAAAAAAAAAAAAAAAAAAAGATGTTGGAGACCACTGTGTAGCAGCTCTGAGCAGGACTTATATTAACCAATTGGCTTTCCATGTTTACCTGTGAGTCACGTCCCTAATAAGGCCTGTACTGGTGGGTGAAGCCATGAGGCCTCAAAGGACAAGACAAGGCCACAGTTGAGGACTTTAGGCTCCAACTCCAGTTAATTAAAAGGAGACTGTAGTTGCAAGCATCTCACTATTACAACGAATGCCTTCCTGGAGATAATGTAGTTCTCCTAAATTAACATAAAGTATTACTTGGAGAAGTCCTTAATGGGATTCCCAAGTCCTGCCCAGATTCCTGCATTTCTTCAGTATCCTCCCCCTTTATCTGAAAATCTAATAAATAGGGGCTGCCCAGGGAAGTCAACATCTTAATCCCCAAAGTCTTTTTTTTTAAATTTATTTTAAAAATAAAAGAAGGAAAACATATTAACAGACATCCATTTACAATACAAGCAATACTGAATTACAGACAAAGTGGTAGGAAATTAACAATGGTTGTTATATTATGTATTGATATCTTCAAAGTGGTTTCTCAGGAAAACAAATAGAGACATGCAAGATTGATCAAATAAGTAATCATGAACTGTTCCTTTCAGTAAAGTGATAGAAGTCAGTAGTATATCTATGTTAGCTATCCTGTATATACATGCATACATAATTTCCCCTTCTTTCTTTTCTCTTTTCCTTCACCCAAGTTGCTCTTTACTTTTGAGCATTTTCCTTTTGTTTCACAATGTCTATCATACCTCCTAATTTTTATTCACTCTTTCAGGTTTTTACACTAGTGAGATAATACATTGCTTACACATGGAGGTCTGGCTTATTTCACTTATGAGTGTGGTCTCTAATTGTGACCATTTACCATCAATCTAACAAAAGAAGTAAAAGATCTATTCAATGAAAACTACAGTACTCTGAAAAAAGAGATCGAAAAGGATTTCAATAAATGGAAAAATATTCCTTGCTCATGGATAGGAAGAACTAACATCGTGAAAATGGCCATACTCCCAAAATGGTTGTACAGATTCCAATACAATTCCCATTGAAATACCATTAGCTCACCTCACAGATCTAGAGAAAACATTCCTTAAATTCATCTGGAACCAGAAGAGACCCAGATTAGCAAAAGCAATTCTGGACAACAAGGACAAGCGAGGTGCAATCACAATCCCTGATCTGAAATTATAATCCCCAAAGTCTTAACCCAGAGAATTTTAATATTGTAAGAGAGTTAGACCCTCCTGGAACCCTGAAATCATTTCATTTTTCTCATTTATTTAAGCCCTCGCCATCCACTCGTTCAGGAGGTTGTGGGCCTGATCAGCCCACAATAACTAAGAATTATTAACCTGATAGTAAGATTTTAAACCTCTGTAGTGCAATGCTCAATCTGAAAAAAGAGCTCCAATATAGGCCCTTTTTTTGGAACCAAGAATCAAACTCAAGGCCTTGTGCTTGCCAGGCAGGCACTGCCCCACTGAGCTATATCCTGGTCCTTCAAAATAGGCTTTTATGATGATGTGACCTCTGACATCAGTATGATCATCACCTTGATGCCACAGACAGCAGGATAAAGTGACAAAGAGGGAGGAAGTGATGGGCTCCAGTCCACTAGAGATGGCTGTAAAACCTTTCTATAGGGCCATGGATGTAGCTCAGTGGCACAAACACCTGCCTGGCAAGTGTAAGTTCCTGAGTTTGATTCTCAGTACCAAAAAAACAACAACAAAAAAATTTCATAACTGCACAACAAAGATGATTCTCCAAGTTGCAAGCTGCTAAGGAAAATGCCTGATCTGGGTGACCATTCTATCTCCTCTTTCTGAACTTTTTCTCAAAAAAACTTTTGTTTTCTGAAGGGAAAAGCGCTGGGTCCACACATGACTTCTCGCTTCTCAGATGGGTGGATGCCATCTAGTGACAAAATGTGGTAAAACTTCTTTCCCTGGGGCTGTGGCCAACCATGACACAAACACACAGGTCTGTAAGGCTGTTGAAAGCATGAAATATAAGTCCTCAGCCTTCTCCAGCAGGAAATGCATCAGGCAAAGTGTGATTAGCCTAAAGGTCACTGCCCTTTTCTCCTACCTGGCAGGTAGATAGATCCTCAATTACATCTGGGGGTCTTCAGGAGCTGTCTAATAGGAAATCAAGAATCTGTGTGCTTCAGATGCCATGCGGAATCTTCTCTTGCCCTCATTCCATTCTTTCCAGACCTCAGGCTTATTAATTTCTTGTATAGCTTTTTACTTTTCCTGGAGTTCCTAATTGCCTTTTCTTTTCTCATCCTTCTAGCTTAAAAAAAAGTTCTGAGAACTAAGTAAAAGGCAGTAAGAATGAACCCTCTGAAATAGTCCATATCGCTCCTTAATGTCACCCAGAGGTGGCCTCCAAGAGACAGTATAATGTCTAACTCTCTCATATATCCAAAGAATTCTTTACACCAGTATCACTGCTCCTGTCAGTGGCCCCTGTGGGGAGGGCATGAGTGACACTGCAGAGGGCTCTGCCTGCCAGCTTTTGAGGTCCCAAGATGGTGCTGAACTCTGCACCTAAGCAGAGCCCATATCACCCACACACACACACACACACACACACACACACACACACACACACACACGCACACACATGTGGAGCACTTAGATCCTGAGGAAGCCTGCATCTCTCAGAGAGTCTGGAATAAGCAGCTGTCTTCTGTGGTTCCCTCCTTCTGTAGGTCTGACCCTAAGGAGTCTTCAGGACTCCTTGTTTCTAGAATTCAACACTGAAGACCCTGCTCAATGCCAAAGGCAGGGATGGAGCCAACCCACCTAGACAGGCACACAAACAGCCCCTAGCCTTCAGTCAGAGCAGGAGCATTTCAAATTCGAACCCAGCCCATGCAACTTAGTGAGCCCATGTTTCAAAATAAAAAGATAAAAAGGTATGAGGGGGTAGCTCAGGGCTGGAGTAATTGCCCGGTGTGTGTGAACCACAGTCACACACACACACACACACACACACACACACACACACATGAGGAAAAGATCTCAAAGCCCTCCACAATAGCCAGACAGTGGAACCAACTCAGGTGTCCATACATAGATAAATGGATAAACAGAATGTGATACAAAAAACGTCATGGGCGATAGTTCTGCCTTCAGGAGAGCATATGCAAAGTGCTACTCTGGGATGACAATGGAGGACATTATGCTGCATGAAATAAGCCAGACAAGGAAAGACGAATGCTGTACGATTTCGCTTGTACACAGTCCCAGTAGTACTTAAAATCGGCGAGAAAGAAAGGAAAGTGGAGGCTGCCAGGTGTTGAGGGGTTGTTGTCTCATAGGGACAGAGTATCAGTTTTTTGAGAGAAAAAAGAGCTCTGGAGACGGATGGTGGTAACGACTGCATAGCAGCATGAGCGCACTTAAGTGCTAGACCCGCACTGGACACTTAAAAATAGCTAAAATGGTCAGCTCCATGCTATGTGTATTTTACTACAGATTTAAAAAATAAATCAACATCCCCGGCCACCTCCGACCTGGGATGACTGAACAGCCAACTCTGTGGACAGGAGCAGGCCCCGTCTCTGCGCCTCTTCCCACCTCGGGCTGCCGTGCTCACGTGGCCAGGGCGCGCTGGAGGACATTCAGACTCACAGGGGGATGTGAGGAGGCTAAGTCAGGATGCCAGCTGGCGGGGATGAGGAGCGGGACCTGGACAAGGCGGGGACGGCAGGCCCACAGCTGACCCTGCTGTGTACCTCCTTCAACCATGGACAGGGCCAGGCGCCAGCAAGCACTGACCCTCCTCCCTACCAGCTGGCCCTCGTCTTCTCGCTTGCCGCCGTGAGCAGTAGCCACTGGTGCGAAGGCACCCAACGCACACCCAAGCCTCTGTGCCAGAATGCGCGGGGAGGGCGGAACTGCACTCACCTGAGCTGGGCCAGTACATTTGGGAGCCCGGGGATAACAAGTACATCCAGCGAAGGTTCAATGCCTGGCTCTGGCAGTCCTGCGAGGAGAGCTTCAACGGCACGGGTGAGCTCACCCACAGGTGCGGGGATGACGGGTGCAGTCTGGTGACCCCAAGCAGGGGCTCTGGAGCTCCCGGGCTCGAATCCCAGCTCTACCACAGACTGTGCATCCTCAGCCAGTCCCTTCACTCTCAAGCCTCAGTCTTCTTGTTTCAGTGCTTAGCTCCTGCTGATTCTGTACAGGTTAAAGGACGAGGCTCCTGTGAATTACGTGCAAGACTCCCTGACACCTTGTGTTTATTTAAATATTAGCTTTTCCCAACTGTCATTGTCATCCAGTCCCTAGAGGATCAAAGGCAACTCCCATCCAACTCTAAGCTACATCCCTGGCATTTCTCATTCACTTTGAAAGGGGTCTCTGGGGCTGAGGATATGGCTCAGTGGCACAAGCGCTTGCCTGGTATGTGCAAGGTCCTGAGTTTGATTCCTGGTACCAAAAAAAAAAAAAAAGTCTACTTAAAGGGGTCTCAAAATAAAAGATTCTCTTTTTTAAAGATAGAATTTTACTGTCATCAGAGCACCCACCACATCTACAAGCACGAACTTTAACCAGTTACGTATGTACCCCAGAGAATCCTTGAAATAACTGCGCAAAGTAGCTGCTATTTCATCAGCTCATCAACAAGAAAACAGGCTCAGAGAGATTCTACTTGAGCTCATTCCACTTAGCTCATTCCCTTTCCACTATCTTCTTCAGCCCAATTCCCAGACATCTTTTGAACCTCTGTTGGTTTGAGTGTAACTGGTGGTAGAGCAAAAGGTAAAGGAAGACCAGAGAGAACAGGGAGGGAAGGGTTAGTATTTGGAGCACATCATTAAGAAGAGTGGCTTTTGTTTTGTTTTGTTTTGAGACAGGGTCTCAATGTAGTTCAGGCTGGCCTTAAACTTGCCATCCTCCTGCCTCAGCCTTCCCAGTGCTAGGATTGCAGGCATGTGCCACCACACCCAGCTGGAAAAGTGTTTTTAAGCTCACAAAGAACTAAAGAAGGAAGAACTGGGCCTCTCAATGTTTGGTAAGCTGCTTGTAAGCCCTGCTCAGGGACATGATATGACCCTCTTGCTTAAAAAGCGAAACCCTCAAAAGTGAAAAGGGAAAGAAGCACCCCCCTATTCCCACTTCTTTCCTGACTTAGAGCTTATTACATTTCCTGTATAGCTTTTTATTTTTCCTAAAGTTTCTAATTGCTTCTTCTTTCCCCATCCTCATAGCATTTGCTTTTTTAAGTCCTAAGAAAAAAAGCAGCAAGAATAAATACTCTATAATGCCCCTTACTAATTGACAACACCACCCCAGGTGTGGCCACCAAGGGCCTTGCCTGGCTTACCCTACCATCCCAACAGTTCAGTGCACATGGTCTTTCTGCTAAGTGTGGTGCTTTGGCTTTTCCTGAGGTTTGTTACTGCTGGTATGATTGGGCTGAGACCCACACAGAACCAGATCAGACCTTTGGACAAGAAAGGAGTCTTTATTGGGGGGAGGGAGAGCTACATGGTAGGCTGCCTAGCAGACTAGGACAGCCCTGAGCTGAGCAAAGCATGGGGTTTTTAAGCTGACTGTCAGGGAGAGTGTCTGTGGGCCAGAACATTTTCCGGAAGGGTGTGTCCTTGGGCCAGAACAGCCCAAGCAGGGTGGGTTGTTCGTAAGAGTTGAACGTCTGGTTCTGCTAAGGTGGATGAAGGCTGGGTTGGCTTTTGTTGAAGGGAACTGGGGGGGAACAGGTGAAGAGGGAGGGGTTTTTATTAGCTCCTTAATAAAACAGCTTAAATCCCCCCTGGGGGGGAGTTGCCTTGTGACTTAGCAATTGCCTTTTCTTTTACCATCCTCATAACATTGGTATTTTTATTCTGCACTATTCTATTCTACATGGAGGTATCAGTATTTCTAATATGGTCTGCTGGCGGTGATGACACACACAAACACGAGGGAGCCACTTCCCAGGGCAAAGCAAAGCTCCCTGAAAGGGGGGATCTGGCACAGCATGCAGCAAATGCACTCACAACTCTCCATGTGAGGCACGGTGCTAGGTGTGTAGAGGAATACAAAGGTGATTAAGTCACTCTGCTGACAGATGATGATTCAGCAGGAGAGAGGGAAGATACAAATAAAATAAGGGAGAGCATATGAATGGTTGCTGGGAAGGCTCAGCTATGATATGGAAATGGGAAGGAGGCAGAGGTTACTTCCTCCTCTGGGCATGGGGAAGTCTTCCTAGAGGAGGTGACCACTGCGTCAGGGCCTTAACACTGCGACTGTAATAGATGGAGACCAGAGGTGAGACTGTCAGGGGTGGGCAGAACTGAGAGAGTCCAGATCCGAGGTGGCAACGTAGGTATCTGCATAGGTATCTGCACCAGAGGTCTATGCACCAGAACACGCGATGGGGAAAGGAGGAAGTCTGGCCACAGAAGAACATGATTCGTAGAAGCACGGGTAAGTGTTTCTGTGTCACCTGAGGCGTTTTCTCTTCCCATGAAACATAAGGTCACTGTCGCCCCTGTGGGAGGACCTGAACAGGAAACATTACCTAGAAAGATAAAGTCTAATTGGCAAAAACTGATGTTGAGATTACTATTTGTAATGCCAAGAGAGGAGAGACCTCAAGCTGAACTTGAGGACAGTTGGAAAATTTGACAGAGTTACTGCACTGGCTGGACTTGAGCGAAGGAGGAAACTGGAAATTTGGAGAGGACCAGAAGCATCTGTCAACTGGCCACCTGCATGTCCCATAATGTGTGTCTCCTGTTGCCACAGAAACACTGGGAGAAAGGAGGGTGTAAACTGCCCCCAAGACTTGTGATAACAAATTGTTACACAGTTGTATGCGTGTGTGTGTGGCGGGGAGAGAGACAGAGAGAGAAAAGAAGGAGACAGAGGAGGAGGGGGGTATTCCAGTCAAAAACAAGGGCTAAAAAGACAGTTAAGAGACTGTGTGAAGTTCTCTCAGGCTCAGCCCTCTAGAGCAGTGATGGCGAACCTTTTAGAGGTGAGTGCCCAAGTGCAACCCCAAACCCACTTATTTATCGCAAAGTGCCAGCACTGCAATTAAACCTGAATGCTGAGGTTTTAATTTAGGAAAAAACAACCCATAAATTAATATCTTTTGTCTTAAAAACAAATAACATGCATGCCATAGGATTACCATCACTGCTCTAGAGGAAGTTCCCTTGGTGCCCTGCCAACACAGTCTCTCTCTCTCTCTCTCTTCTTTTCTGTCTGTCTTACACACACACACACACACACACACACACACTCTTGCCTGAATCACAACATTGCCTGGCTTTTCCTATATGATCAGGAATCCACACTGAATTCCCAGGAGGGCTGGTGTTCTTATTGCTTTGTGCACAACACAAGTAGAAATAAAGTCTGTTTTCTTTGACCCCTTTTTGATTTATGCCTGACTATATTCTTCATGTCAGGACAGAAGGAGCTCTTAACAAGTCTCTGCATGTTTCTAAATTTTTTTCTATAGAGATATCTTCTGAAATGCTCTTTGTCAAAAATAAAAAGAATAGTTTCAAGAGACAAATTTGGACAATATTGCATTGTTACATTTTCTTCTTGGAAATTCACAATGCCCATTAGCATATCAAAAGTTCTGAGTAGTCCCACGATAAAGAAACTTGTTTCATATGATATATCCCAGTATGTCCTCAAAATTACTGACCATGTAAGACATTTATATATTTATATAATAAGGACTTATGTAATAAATTATATATTAAACGTTAATTAATTTCTGTGAGATTGGTGTTCAGTGGAGTAGACTTTGGAAAAAGCTAGCCTAGAGCAGCACTTACTTTACAGGTGGGAAAACTGAGTTCCAAAGTGCAAGGGCTCATTGAAGACCCCACAGCGAGGTACCAGTGGAGCTAGATGCAGAACTCAGGTAGCTGAACTCTGCCCCGTTATCCTACAGTGCACCAAATTTATTGGAGGGCAGAAATTCCAGTAAATGTCAATGAATAATTTTGTACCCATCAATCTAAAAACCGTCTGCTTACATTTTACATAGTTTTTCATACAAGGTCATCAAAGTTTCTAAATATTGTCTTCACTTTATTAAGAAGGAAGAAAGACATCCTGCCCAGAACATCTCCCCTCAAAAGAGAAACATTATCACTTCCTTGTGTTGCAGAATGTGCCTAACACAAAAAGTTTAAATTTTTACCTTATAGACAATACGTTAATACCAACCATACTAGAGAACAAATGGAGAGCTATATTTCAGAAATTACAGGACTGGCAGTATAGCTCAGTGATAGAGCAATTGCCTAGTATGCATGAGGCCCTGAGCTTGAACTTCAGCACCGCAAAAAAGGGAAAATATTACAAACTCAAATGCCTTTAAGAAGTACAAGTCACAGTAGGTGAACCAGCAGGGATAGACAGTGACCTTGAAACTTCACACCTGGCTAAGGGCGTGACCTCTTGTTCGGTTCAGCTTTGCAGTCATTTGCACTTGTGAGCCCACTGTAGTCAGATCTTCTGATTTTTCAAAGGAAATAAGATGTTTCGATTTTGGGGTAAAATTTCCCAATTTTAAAATCTCTTTAGAACATTGTGTGAGCCCAAGAATGTATTTTTGCACCAGACTCTGCAAAACTGGGAGCCTCCCTGGAGAATACGCCCCCTAAACATCTCCTGTTTAGTCTAATTTATCACAAAGGTTTGGGGCACAAGGAAGAAAAGGGTTAGGCTGGAGATAAATTGAAGGAGCCCAAACAGTGCCACGGAGAGGGTTGGGGGGCCGCAAAGTGAACTCAGTTTTGTTGGCAGTAAAGACTCCAGTTTGTGAAAGGCAATCCTGGCCATAAACAAGTCCAGGAGGGAGATTTCTGGGCACCCCAGCACCCTCTGCTCCGCTACCCAAGAGACTCATTGGTATGTTCCTTCAGAATTACCTTCTTCTCCCCAACTGTGGAGTCTCCCAGGAACCCCTTACCTGAAATGCTATTTCTGGCACCTCCAACAGTTCCCTTTCTTCCTGAAGCCTAAAATTCCTTAAAAAGAGAATCCCCTGCCTCTCCTCCCACATTCTGAAATAAAGATTTGAAATGAAAAGTCCTGGTTAGGGTAATGCTTAGTTGTTCCTTTTCTTAGCCAAGTCCATTTATCTATAAAATGTGATTTTAGATTCTGTACTGTTCTGCTAAGCTCAAAAACTTCAAAGAGAGAAGGTCATGAGCAGCCCAGGGGAGTGCGTGTGTTAGCAGGGCGTGGCTGAGCAGACAGGGCTGACAGAGCAAAGTGCCAAGGCCTTGGACACCACATCTCAGGGCTGGCCTCTTGTGCCACTTGACTGCCAAAGCACTGCCAAGCTATGTAACACCCGCCTCTCTGGCTTTGTAGGATTTATAAAGATTTTTCCTTTTAATCCTGCTAGCTTTACTCATTTCTGAGGATTCATGTTAATCAAGGGTCACTTTGGTCTGACTCTTTGGGCCCAAGCTAATCTGACCCTTCTAAGCTATTGGGAATTTTCTTAATCTGCCTGGCTGGCTACCACTCTCTCCCTGTTCCCTGCCCCTGGCTCTGATCCTGGCTTCATTATTCTGTTGGAAAAGGTACCTCTTTTCTGGAGACAAGAGACCCTTACTCCTGGCTGTAATTTGGATATGGCCTGAGTGTGTCCCCCAATGCTTTGTGTGCTGGAAGCTCGATCTCCAGTGTGGTGGTATGAGGAAAGTTGAACCTTTTAGAGGTGGAGCCTAGTGAAGAATGATTAGGTCATTGCGGTACTGCCCTCAGAATGGATTAATGTAGTCTTATAGGACCTTAGTTAATCCACAAGAAAGCAAGTTCTTATAAAAAGAGCAAATCTGGCTCTTGAATCCTTCATGCTTCCCATCTGGCCATGTGGCTACCCTTTCCCTCTTGTATGCACTCCCACCAAAATACTATCCACCATGTTGTTCAAATAGCTAGAATACCCTCACCAAGTCTGAGCAGAAACCAACACCACACTCTTGAATTGTGAGCTAAACAAGCCTTTTTTTCTTTAGAAAATACACACCCTTGTGTATTTCATTATAGCAACAGAAAATAGACCAATACACCCCTTCACACAGTAGGTAGAGGGATTGTGGGTGGTGATATAGAGAAATGTACTGAGCCTCAGGTAGGAAAACTCCATTTTCAATTCCTGGTTTTCAAGTTTGTAAAACAGAAATACTCGTACTTGCCTTTATCAATGACTAAACACACAAAAATAGGTCCTGCTCATACCTCGTATGTGATACATACACACACACAAACACACACACACACACACACACACACACACACACACAGACCTCAACTCCTTTTCTTTCACAGTCAAGAAATTATGATGGAATGTAAGACACCAGGCCACTTATAAACTAAGGATCTTAGTAAACAGAAATATTTCTGTGACTGCTCTAGTTCACAAAAAATGACAAATTTTGACACTTTCTCTTTAACTGTCTTTAAGCAGAAACAACTTATTTGAGATTCATATCATAGTGAATATGTCTCATGAGCTAAGAACCCTTGGCCTAAGGCTCTCAGTATCAGTCTGGGTGGGCTAGGATATGCTTCAATAACAACCTCCCCCAAATCCCAGTCATTTAAGTCAACACATTTATTTCCAACTCATTTTATATTTACTTCTCATTTTATCAAGCAGTGTCCTCACTGTAGCTGTTCAGGAACCCAGGCTGATAGAAACATCATTTTCACTTGTGCTTCTGTAGTTATAGAGGCAAGGGAACAAGAACCAGGCAAACAATGCACTGGCTCTTAAAGCTTCTGACCAGCATTAACCCACTTAGTTTTTCTTCCCAATTCATTGGCTAATGGTCATATGGCCACGCCTGACTGTCTTAGTCAGCTTTTTGTCACTGTAACAAAATACTTGACATAAATGACTTGAAAGAGAAAAGATTAATTTTGGCTGGCAGCTTCAGAGAGTTGAGGTCATGGTTGGTTGGCTCCATTGCTTTTAAGCATGTGGCAAGGCAAAAGCATCGTGGTGGAAGGGCATAGCAGAAAATGCTGCTCACCCCAAGGCAGTCAGAAAGCAGAAAAGGGTAGAAAGAGCCAGGAAGAGAGAAAGTAGCTAAGGACAAGAGTGTGCCCTTGTGGGCTGCACCCACAATGACCTAATCCCTCTAACCAAGCCCCACTTTTCACAGTGCATTCAGCTATAAACTCATCATGGGCTACCCCACTGATGGGGTTAGCTCCCTCGTGATCAAATCACCTTCCAAAACCTCACCTCTGAGCACATGGGACTTTGAGGGGACATTTTCATCCAAACCATAACAAGGAGCTTAAGACAGATGTATTGTGCTCCACAGAGGAGAAACCACATGTCTGTGAGCACAGATGGCATCTTCCGCAATCCCCTTCCCTTATTCAAAATGAACTTTGATGCAGTTAAGGAGCTGGAAACACCATTTTCTCCCTTAGTGTCAAATTTAACTCTACTTACAGCTGCATTATCTATACCTTTTAGATGAACAATGTAGGAGTTTCCAGTGAGGAACAAGGTAAATCCCTTACTCTCATTTTTTTATTATTTTATTTTATTATCTGTTGGGGGAAAGAAGAGACAGTGATTTGTATCTTCCCATGAAGTCAAGTCCAAAAGCCAGAACCACAGGTTCTCTTCATGCCCCCGGTACCCCTGATGTTCGGGCAAATGTTAAAACTCACTTTGCATGGGGGAGGGGAACCCTAATTGGTAGCATCTCCCACTTGCTATGCTGTCCATAGTTCCACTGTGGCCAAATTTAAACTATCCATACGAGGTGGAGGCAGAGACAGGAACAGACCGTGTCTTGGTCACTTTCACATAACTGAGACAATACCTGATACCCATAACTTAAAGGAGGAGAGGTTTATTTTGTTCTATGATTTTAGTCCTTAGTTGGTCAGCTCCAAGGCAGAAGGTCATGGTGGGAGGACCTGGGCTAGGAAAGATGCCTGCATCATAGGATCTGGGAAGCAGAGGGTGAAAGGAGGAGCCAAGGAGGGAGATGTACCCTGCTGGGTCACATCCTAATGACCTGCCCCTTCCCAGCCAGGCCCCGCCTCCTAACATCACGTTTAGCTATAGTGCCTCCGTGAGTCAATCACCTCTCAAACGCTCTGCTTAAGAGTGCAAGAGACTGTCAGGGGAGACATGTAGATATAAATCATCACAGACCAGATCTAGGACACCACTGCTTATAGCACTTTATCTGCTTTGACTTTCTCGTTACAGTTGTAATTATCTTTTTAGTGCCTATTTTCCTAGCTGCAATGGAGGTTTTGCAAAAAGCATAAAATAGATCATATTTATTTCATTCATTGCTATATCCCCTCTCCTAACTTGACTCATCATATGGATTTTATAAATATAAGTTTCCCTTCCCATCCCCTTTACCCACCCCACTCAATGTAGTTCCTGAAAACCGTAGGCAGAGAATGAACAAGCAGCCTGCATGGAGATAACTAGGGTCCCGGTGCTTCTAAACGGGGCTCTTCAACTCTTAGGCTCTTCTGCCCTCATCTTTAAGTTTGCATATCTTCTTAAAAGGTCAGAGACAATGTTTTCTGACAGAATCAAAACAACATATATCCTTTTGAGCTGGACAGTGGAGATCCCTAGGGTCTCTCATTGTCCTCACTTTAGAATTTTGCTTAATTTTTTCATTCTAACTATGGGCAACCTGTACAAACATCTCCTTCAGGCCTTGGGAGCCCCTTTTATTTACCAACCTTCCAAGATGTAACAGAGGCATCTATGATGTGCTATACAAGGCATTTGCTTTTCACAATTTGCTATACAAGTCACTATGGTTTGATATGGTCTGAGCATGTCTGTCAAGAGTTCATGTGTTGGAAGTTTTGTCTCCTGTGCAGTGACACTAAGGTAATAAAAACCTTTAAAAGGTTCTGAATACCAGGCTGTGTAAGGCCGTTGGGGTCCTGCACTTAGAAGAGATTAGTGTAGTTCTCATGTGACTCAGAGTCAGTTCTTGTGAGAGTTCTTATAAAGGAGCAAGCCCAGCCCCTCCCCATCTCCCCCCAGTTTCTTGTCCCTTCTTCTCATGTATGAGGGATCATGATGTCACCCACCATGATGCAGTGCATCCAAGGGTGACTTCACCAGAACCAGGGGTATGCTGTTTGGACTTTCAGCATCCAAAATTGTGAGTTAAATCAACAATTTTTCTTTACAAACTGCCCAGTTGTGGTACTTTGTTACAGTAACCACAAATGAACAAACACAGAAATAATCTGAATCAAAGGATTAAGTCTTCAAGTACTTCTGAATTCAAAAGGCCCAACCTTTCTTTCCTTTGGCAGGTGTGCTGTGGCTCTCCATTGGGGCTGAAGTCCTGGATATTTTTCCGATGCTGACAAGTGCCATCCTCCTGGGCTCTCGAGTGAGTTGTCACAGCTCTGGTTTCAACTGGCTCAAGGTGGATGCCTCGGTAGCCATCCTTATGGTGCAGGTACTTCCCAGCAGTATCATTACAGCATGTGGATTCCCCACTGCCTGCCCCCCAGGGAGCACAGTGCCTCAGGCTGCTGCACCCACTGATGAAGACTAGGCTGGCTTCCCTCTGTCAACGGCCAGTTTGTCCAGACAGCATCCCCCAGAAAGTCACAGAATTAATGCCATGGGATGGAAGCAATGTTACCTTAGGTGACTGATGAAAAGAGAGTGGATAGGTATAGAGGGAGAGTAAAATGCACCAGTATGTCTTTATCCTAACCAGGGTGCAGGTGTGCTGCCTATGGGAACCGAAGTCTCCTCATTTAGTGCAATGGTTTCAGCATGAATCTTGGAGGAAGACAGCCATGCTCCAATCTCTGCTAGTTAATGGCTGTGTGGTCCTGGAATAGTTACTCAACTTCTCCAAATTACCTATCCGAATGCAGTACCCCGCCCCCTACACACACACACACACACACACACACACACACACACACACACAATCCTCCCAAATTGTAATTAGTCCTCTTTCTAGCTGCCTGCTTAGTTTTAACTGCAGGAACAAGGTGCCAGGTGAAATGGTTAAAGATGTGTAGGTACAGATACATTATAAGGACTTCATGGAAGCTGGAGAACTAATATCCACTCACGTAAGGTAGAGAAACTCTTCCACTGTGCTGCTCGTGCTTAACTGTGGCTCACAAAGCTGTCCTTGTGCAGGGCTCCTAGGCATAGTGGCTCACATAATGTACACAACTATTTTTCAAATCACTGTGAACCTTGGGACAGAAGATTGGAAGCCTCAGACATGGGACTACGGCTGGTCATACTGGTAAGTTGCTTTGTCACGGTGCTCAAACCCTGGTGGACCAGCAGAGATGCACACAGGGCTTTGTAGGACAATTGACATTGGTCATTATGCTGACACCTGCTAATCTTGTGACGCTGGGTAAGTTCTGTTACTTTCTGCAGCTTGGTTGCCTCATCTGTAAATACCTTCCCCAAATGTTTTTATAGGGATTTAAAGAGGTTGTATTTATAAAATGTTGAGCACATATTAAAGTCCTCAAGACATGGAGACATCATTGTCCCATTGCATTAGCCTACTTAAGTTGTTGCCACATTTTGTGGGAGCACATCCTCCAGCAGACCTCTAAGAAAGGATTCAATGAGAGAACAATTAGTTTATTCCCAGCACTGTAGAAGACTGAGGCAGGAGGTTTGCAAGTTCAAGCCTAGTCTGAGCAACTTAGCAATTTAGTAAGATCCTGTCTCAAACTAAAACATCATAAAAGAGCTAGGGTTGAATCTCAGTGCAAAAACCCCAATTCCCGCCCCCCCCCCCACTCACACACACATTAAAGATACTGCTCTGTTTTCCTCCAGCATTTATTGTTACTGTCAAAAGTCCAATATCATTCTGATTCATGTGTCCAATATCATTCTGATTCATGTGTCTCTGTAGGTTGTTTGTTCTTTCCTTCTGAAATGTAAGGACGATGTTCCCCGGTGGGGATTATCTTCCCTTTATATTCATTCTTCTTTCCTATGCTTGGTGGGCCCTTCTGAATACTCATGTCCTAGAATTCTGGATATTTTTCTTCTGGTTTTTTTTTTATTATTTCCTCTCCTCAGTGTTCTGTTCTCCTTGTAAAGAATTCTTGTTAGTTAGACATTGGGTCTCTTTGGTCAATTATTGAAATATCTTATTGCTTTCCTTATATTTTGTATCTCTTTCCCCTTTGTTAAACTTTCTAAAAAAATTTCCTCTGCTTGTCTTCTAACCTTTCAGTTGAATTATTTAGGCTCTTAGTTTAAATCCTAAAAGCTTCTCCTTGTGTTTTGGTTGTTTTTTGTTTACAGTGTTCCTGATCTTGTTTTGTGCATAAAGCATCTTTATATGTTTCTGAGGATATTAACTAAAGATATTTTTGTTGTTGTTGTTTTCATTTCTCCTGTTATCTTTTGCCTTTAAAATTCTTCTTCCTTTCTTTCTTTCTTTCTTTCTTTCTTTTTTTTTTTTTGTGTGTGTGTGTGTGGTTTTTTGAGATAGGATCTTGCTATGTAGCCCAGGCTGAACTCAAACTCGTGGCAATCTTCCTGCCTCAACTTCCCAAGTACTGGGATTACAGTCATGCACCACTATGTCCAGCAAATTTTTTTTCTTTTCTGTATGTGGTTGGGCCAGTCCTCCAGATGTTGGTGCCTTTGATTGTCAAGTCATATTTAAAGATAACTGGAAATTCTTGAGTGAAGTTGGGATTTACCTACTGATAGGCTCTTTTTGAATGTGATTAGGTATAGAGCCAGCTGTTTTATTTGGGAATTCCGCCCCCTAAAACACACACAAGTCAGTTTGTGAGAGTTCTCTCTCTACAACGATTCAGTGTCTCCCAGATTTGCAGGAAGTTGGAGGAGCTTGTATGCCAGGCTGGTGATTTCTCAGGTTAACCATAAGGTAGGGGCAGGGAAGCTTCCCGTTCCAAATGAAATTTTGACGAACTTTCTGCTTTCAGACCAAACTTTTCCCCTTCCTTCCACTGGGTTTTTGTCTCTGAATTTGGAGGGTTTGCTCCTGCACACCGTCTCCAGCAAATAAACCTTTGCAATCTTAGGGGGAAGAGAGGGAAGGGCATAGTGTTTGTCACTGGAGGACACTGAGGGGCCAACCATCTATATGCACATTTAGCCAATACCCTGTTTTGTTTTGTTTTGTTTTGTTTTGTTTGTTTTGTGCTTTAAGGTGCTGCGCTTCTCAAGGATTCAGTAGGGCTATTCCGGAAGACTTCCTCTTATCTTGTGGAGGCCTGTTCTGTAGGCGTCTTAAGTGTACCATCTCCTCCCATGAATTAGTCATCCCACTCCCAGCTGCCTTGTAGCCTCTCGCATCTCCTCTCCAACTTTCTTGGCCCCTGTGTGTTCACACTAGTGGGCCAAGGTTCTCCTTGCTGCGGGACGCAGAGGGCAGGATTGGCCCTTGACATCAATCTTCCCTTTAATCTAGAAGTCCTTCTCCCTCACGTTGTTGGGTGCTACGAAGCATTTTAGCACATCTTGGGGGTTGCAGCAGCAAATCTGCTTGGTGGGATCATAAGACACCTAGTGAAATTCTCTTTCTCTTTTCCTAAATTTTATCTAATAGCACACAATTCAGAATCTCCTCCGATTAGTTGGAACTTCTCCTCCAAATGATATTTTCCCACTTTCAGGGTTTACCTTCAACTATTTTCCTACTCCTATCCCCGTTCAAATCAGAATAATGAAAGCTGAACAAACCGAGGCCCCACCCACATCCCCAAGGGCTGTCCCTGGTTATCCAAGCCCATAGTACCAGGACACAGCAGAGCCCAGAGAGGGAACCAGCTGTCTCCGATCACAAACTCTGGAACCAAATCCAGAAGTCCCACATTCTAAATGGTGATTATGGACAAGTTGGCTAATTTTTCTTTCTTTTATCATCTATAAAATGAGGGTCATGATAGTGCCCCTGACAACAAATGACTTTTGATGTTACTTTAGATAATCCAGGGTTTACCACAGCATCTATATACAATAATATTACTTTTTTTTGAGACAGGGTCATACTATATAGCTCAGGCTGGGCTTAAACTCACTATATAACCCAGGCCAGCCTCAAACTCCCAGCAATCCTCCTGCCTCAGCTTCCTGAGTGCTGGATTACAAGGGTGCACCACCACGCCTGGCTTAATTAATGTTATTATCCACCCAGAAGTGTCTCTGTTTAGTTCTACACATGGGTTGTCTTCTCTAAATTGGCTTCTTGTCCACCACACAGCCCTTCCCTCTATGTCATGATAATCAAACATTTCAACACTCTTTGGTATCAAGCTGATGCTAATTACCATATCAGCTCCGTGCCAGGGTCCATGTAGCTGGGAAGGAATGGACCATCATCTCAGAAAGCAATGGGCTTCCAGCTAGATGGGGATATAGGAACAGCGCTGTTTAACACCAGTGTGCTGGCATAGAGCTAGTGATAAGCAACATTCACATGTAGCCAACACCATCCTAAATGCTCCCCGCACACCGGCTCATTGAACTCCTCAACTGAACCCTGTGAGAGTTGATGTTACTCCAATTTTGCAGATGAGGAATCTGGTACAAACAGGTAAAAGAACAGCTCAGGGTCGTGGAGACAATAAGGGGAGGGGCCTTGGTGCAAACCCAACACAATGACAGCAGATTCCATCCTCCCATCCACTGATCTGTAAAATATATTGATTGGGCCCTGAGATTTGTGATTGAACTTCATCTAAAACCTGAAGATTAAAACTGAGTAGAACTGGGAAATGGTCGACCACCCCCTCCCACCCCACCACCCCTCTCTCTCCCCATGCCCGCTGACCCCCACAGGAAACCCCAGCAGCAGAGCCCGGGCCCCTCCCTCACTGCCCCTTTTGTTGGCAGCCTCGCCTGGGCTTCTTTCTCCCTCTGCACGGCTGTGTCCGTCACGGTCATGAGCCGCCTGGAATGCAGACAGAAGCAGAAGGCACAAAAGAGCCCCGGCAGCCTCCACATAATCTCGGAGAACCTGAGGCTTCGCAGAGGGTTTGGGTCCTGGGAGTCGCTCCCAGTCCTACTGGACATGCTGTTGTGAAGGTTTCTGGACACCAGCAGCCAAGTGTCCCAGGCAAGGTGTCCCTGTGCTAACCAGCAGACTGTGGCTGCCATGCCTGCCCGTGCCGCTAAGCTCCACACTTGTATCCACAAGGAACACTTCTGGGGTGGGCTTTGAAGATTGTGTTCCGAGTAAACTTTCCTCTCCGCACCCCAGCCTTCACTACACACCTTTGGCATTAGCCTCTCATTCCTGTAAACCTGTATCTTTAACTGAGATCACTCTTACAGATATCAAAACTGACGCTCTAGTATAAATGAGCTTCTTAAGCTTTCTGACAGTTAAGAAAGGTACTAATGGAAGAGGGAATGTGCCAACTATTAGGGAGAAGAAGAGATGAAGAGAGGCAACAGGAAGTCTTTATAATGGACACTAGTTGTCTTGCCCACCAAGATTTACTGACAGAAAAGCCCAGAAATTTCCTCCTAGTCAACACAAAAAATAAGGCATGTGTGATAATCTTCTGCTTTCTTTTTCATTTGCATCAAGAAAACAGAGGTTGTCAAATGTTTTGTTATTTAAAAATACTTTTCTCTGGCATTTCATAGTTTCTACCTACAATGGAATCAGTTTGGAAGGGTAGTCAAAGGATAGAAAAGCTAAAAACATAGTCAGATGGAATGACAGCTTATCACCATTAAATGGAACAAATGCTTGAGTCTTCCTGCTTAATTGCTAGGCACTTTTGCCTCTAAAAATAAACATTGCCAAGCATGCAAGTCTTATCCAAGCAGTGGATTTCCTAGTATGTTCAGTTAGAATATTGTATCATTTCTTGTATTTTAAGCTCATGTGTGATTGGGACCACAGGTTGTCAGACACATTAATTTGAAGGCTTTTTTGCAAGGGGAAGTGGTGGAGAAATTGGCTGTCAAATTCTAACAACCTTAAATATGTCCCAGCTCAGATTAAGTTTTTAAAGCAGTATTTATACGTTTAGTAAACATGTCACTTCTAAAAAAAAGGTGATTGTTTCCAATAAAACACTCAGTCTGTTTGTGCTGAACCATAAAAAAGCAAACAGGAAAAAATCCAGTTCACTCTTTCATGTTTGGATTTCAAGTTGAGCACCTGTCTATCAATGGTGGTCCCATGGAACTGTGTGCTCTGCGGTACCGAGTATATTTAAAGAGATATAAAGTGGATTTTTGCTGCAATAGCTTCAGCGTTCCCTTGGCCATGTGCTCATCCAGAAGGGTTTGTACCCAACAGCCTCTTCCCTTTGCCACGTGCAGGTTGTATGCGCTCTTCACCCTCCGTGGGTAGATTCTCCCTGACTGTCACAGTCTCAGGTCAAATCTGACTCCAGAGTTGGGCGTGGTGGTGTACACCTGTAATCCCAGCACTTGGGAGGCTGAGGCAGGAGGACTGCTGTGAGTTCAAACCCAGCCTGAACTGCATAGCAAGACTTTATCTCAAAAAAAAAAAAAAAAAGAATCCAACTTTAAAGGAAAGGAAATCCACTGGAAATGTTCCCAAAGAAAAACTTAATTCTCTCTTGGGGGGAAAAAACATACCTGGGGAGACTGCAGCTGAAGATGCCACAAATGAAATGAATTTTCTGGATTTGAATAAGGGAAGCTGGAGAGCTGGGGTCTCTGGGACAAGAAAGGAGCCAGTGGTCCAGTTAGACACCAGGGCAGAGTGCAAAGGCCATGGGGTACTGAGGCTCAAGTCAAAATTCACCCCTCACTGTATCCTCTGAGCTCCCAAAGCACTGTTCTTCCTTTTAACTTTTTATGCTTTTACATGTTTAAAGTGCCAGTTGTACTGTAGTATAACACCCAAAGAGAAAAGCACAGAAATCATATGTACAGCACAAAGAATCTTCAGAATGTGGACACTCCCATGTGACCAATGCTGTGGATCAAGAAACAGAACTAAAGTGTCTTATTTTCATCCATCTTTGCTATGATAGCTGGATTTTCATTCTTTGCTGTATTGAAATAATCTCTTTGTATATCTGTTCTCTTTTACAGACTGTATATTTCTCTGTTAGAACTTTATACTCTGGGGCCAGAAAAACTGCCTGTAAAGCCTGGTTCCTCATTTTCACCTTGGACAAGTCACTTTATCTCTCTAGGCCTCAGTTTTCTCATCTGTAAATGAGAACAATAATCCTCTTTTAAAGAGCATAAAGAGTAAGTGCATTAGTGAAGGTAAACATCTTAAAACAATGTCTGGTATCTAGGAAGCAGAATGGAAGGACGAACTGCTGCCACACATCAAGTTAGATCTCTGAGTTCAGTCAGACCGGGAAACACTGAGGGGCTGAGCCAGGCTGATGAATTGGGGAAACAATTGTGAAAAGCTCAGTGCCTGTGTCCCAGGATCAAATAAGGCCAGACTACCAACCATTTCAACTTGGAAACTGTTGAGGCCATGGTTAACCAATGAGGGCTTTTTATCAGGAGTCTATACTATTCCAGGCACCGTGCCATTTCTCCTCAGTGAAATAAATTAGAGTTTATTTCCTAGTACAGTATTAGCAAAATGCTTGTTGGTTCAGTTGTTGAAGAACAGATCCGTGTCTACCACTACTAATCACACCAGGATCCAAGCAGCACCCTGGTGTTGCTTGTTGTGAACAAGTCCGCTCTATTCCAGAATTGATGAATGTGGTCCTGACCTCACCTAAGTCAGCATTACCCTTGTTTTCGAGTTGACAACAGCTTCTAATGCCATTGACTCCCTCAGGAACTACAGCTGGGTGTTCTGGGCCTAGAGGGACATCTCTGGGGGCCAGAATAAGGTCTGCAGGTCTCATTAATGAGTCTAGAATTAAATTTGCTCATGTAAACATTTTGATTCATTAAATACCTATGAAGAATACATGTACATAAAGCCCTATATGGGAGACAAAAGCATGTCTCAGAATCTATCCTGCCCCCAGCAAGCCAACTATAGAAACACTTCAGTGCAGAGCAGGTGTTGGGGAGATTGGGGGAAAACCCAATTTTCTGAAGATCAAAGGACATGTCAATCTCTTAGATGGCTGACTAGCAGTATTATTTGCTCTTGTTGAATCAACTGTCTTGCCACAAAAAGACAGAACATAAAGATGAGATGTGAGGAACTAGAATTTTTTTGAGTTGCTACATGAAGCAGGAGAAAGACATCTTCTGCACTGCAAAAATGTGGAAGAAATGAAAAGGATGCTAATTTGAAAATAAGAGAATTTGGAAGGGCAGACAAGAAGGCAAAAATGTCAGACAGAATCCATTGGGTTTTAGCTTCTCTCACTGCTTATTTCATATTTTCTCTTATGAAATATTTCAATATGTATAAAATTATATCACAGACATCCATTGGCCACTATTCTGACTCAGTAGAAGCAAGTGCTTTGTCATGGTGGCCACAGATTTCTTTTTTAAAAAAAGAAAAGAAAGAAAATGCAAGACATACAACTCATGCCTCACATGCCTCTTCCCTTCCCTACCATCCCCACATTCTCCCAAGAACTACCCACCATCTGAGAATCGTCTCAGCCCTTCCCGCAGCGGTGCACATGCGCTGCATGCAGACGTGTTCATATGGTCCTGTATGGCTTCAAGTTACAAACAAACAGCAGCATCTTATACTGGGTTTCTCTCTTAAAGGAGATCAGATCATTTTTTCACTTTTTAAAATTATGGTAAAATATACCTACCATAAAATTTACCATGGCAACTATTGTGAATGTCCAATTCAGTGGCATTAAGAACATTCACACTGTCTTACAACTATCCCTGCTGCCCAGCTCCAGACTTTTCCATCTTCCCCAACTGAAACTCTGGACCCATGAGACACTAACTCCCCACTTTCTCATTGCCCAGGTCCTGGCAACCCCTGTGCCCCTTTCTACCTGCCTTGTGGCAATTAAGTGAAAGAAAAGGAAAACTTCTCCACTCATAATGGATTCAAGTTTTCACTAAACTTGAATCACTTCACTAAATTTATTATGTATCATAAACACCCCAAACTCTCCTAGCAACTTTGTCCAAGCCTAAGCATCATTCTACATCAGGGAACCCACTGACCTGTCCTTCCTCTTCTGTATCACAGTGCCAGTAGGCAAAGTTGAGATGCCTAGTGTCATTCAACCAGTTTCAAAAGAATTTGCAGTTTGGTGGTTTGGACTGTCTTTCAGACTCCGAGAGATCGTCATCCAAATATCGAGGATGGAAGAAGACTGTGCTTTCGAAGCATAAAATCTGGGTAGTCATTCAGGTCCAGCACCACCTTGCAGGGCTGGTTCTTTAATGAACCCCTACCAAGTCTGCAGCAGGGCTGAAACCGCCAGGTCACGTTCACTTACTAAGCTCCTGCCAGAATCACAAAGACTCCACACTGCTAAAGCCGACTGTCACTTCCCAGATCTTATCTTCCCTTGACCAATCAGCAACATCAAACACCATGGGGATGAGGGAGACCTGAGGGAGGCAAGGCAAAGGGAAAGTAAGAAGGATTAAGATGTGATACATACATGTGCCAACTCCCCGCCAAAAATAAATTTATTATGTATCATAAACATAGACTAATAAAAAAGGGAAAAATTCACCAATAATCATGTATTAAAAGAACAACTTTTGACACGTTAAAAGTTTACATGAGCAAGAATGATTCATGAACCCAGCAGGACTCACAACTCAAGAGAGCTCCACCCAGCAGTGTGAACAGCAAGCTTTTATAGGTGAACAAGAGGCCACGTAGAGAAACCACCTGATTGGCTAGAGCCACTAACCTCCTGTGGTGGGCGTGGTCTAATCAGTTGGCTGATGGAAACTGGATGGAGCATGGCTGCTTGCCATTGGCTGAAACACAGCTATTTATCACAAAACCTAAATGAGTTCTGGTTTGTTACTAGGGACTCAAAGTATGGCCTCTTATTTAACTTAGCACATCTCCCTCCTTAAAACACTCTTCATTTGGCTCCTGGACCTGACTTTTCTTCATCTCCCTCACTGCACTGATCAGTCCTTTGCTGTCTCTTAACCCTT